CCACATGTACCACATGAGGTGCGAATGACAATAAAGAAACTCTGACTCTCTGACTCTGACATGATCAATAATAAAGAACCTCTGACTCTGACAAACCAAAATTCATGAATCTATGTAATATATGAGGCTTACTTTCTGAAATGATAGACAAAAAAAAAAAAATTGAACTTTTTCACAAAATTCAATTTTTTTTTTAGATGACCTATATATATAGATACAAATAAAGAACAGCATAGTGGTACAGTTGGTTGGTAGAGCTGCTACCTCTCAGTGAGAAGGTTGCCGGATAGAATCCCGGCTGGGAAGCCATTTTGGGTGTTTTGAATGTTCTCTCTTTGCCCCTTTTCCATTAGTAACGGTACGGCCCGACTGGACCTGGTTCCAAGGCTTTCCCATTATTACCAGTACTCAGAACCTGTTACTATTTTCAGAACCCTTGGCTCTGTTGGTGCATACGTGGATTTTCTCCAGGTACACCAATTTCCTCCCACAGACCAAAAACATACGTTAGACTGATTGGTAACTCTAAATTGTCCCTAGGTGTGAGAGTGTCTCGTTTGTCTCTATGTATCCATGGGATGGACTGGAGACCTGTCCAGGGTGTCCCCCTCCTCTCGCAGTGACAGCTGGATATGGGCACCAGTGACCCCCGTGACCCAAAATGGAATAAACGGGTAAAGATAATGGATGGATGGAAAAATGTATTTTCCCAGCAGTTTTTTTCCACAACAATAACCTAACTACTTTTAAGTTTTATTTCAGCTGTACAGTCCACAAATTTAACATTTTCCGGTCTTTTCTTCCTCTGCTAAAAATACAGGAAATAATATATTTTCCTGTATTTATAGCAGAGGGAAAATACCAAAAAATATATTTTAAGTGTGTGTGCATGTGTGTTTTAATAGAAGGGTTATGAGTTATTGTGCCAAGTTAGAAATATGTCTTTTCCCAACAACTCAGTAAACATACCTGTCTGAGCTGCTACATTCTTACACACCCTCTCGTTCACTCAGGTCAGCTGACCAGTTGTTTCTGAAGGTCCCGAAGACAAAGCGTAAGCTTAGAGGGGACCGAGCTTTTTCTGTGATAGCTCCCAGGCTCTGGAATGACCTTCCATTGAACATAAGACAGGCCTCTTCAACTGAGGTTTTTAAGTCCCTTCTTAAAACTCATCTTTTTTCTTTGGCCTTTTAGCACAATCTGAGATGTTTTACCTTGTTTTATTGTGTTTGTATTTTATTTTATTATTTTATTCCTGTTTTAAATTTTACCCTCCCATTTTATCATTGTATTGTATTATATAATTGTGTAAAGCACTTTGGTCCTGTTGGGTGCATAAAGTGCTCTATAAATAAAGTTGGTATGGTATGGTATGGTACAAGCAGAATATTCCTACTTGTGCAAACTGAAACGTCTACATTTGAAAAACTGTGAATCTTGTAGTACGCTATTGTAAAACTTTGTGGATCTTTTAATGTACTAATACAAATCTCGTTGTACGCTTGCGTGACTACTTTTAAGACTGATTTGTCTTTCAAAGAGTGGACTTTCTTTTTCTGTGATTGTAAACTCTTTGTTGTAAATGCATTTGGATTTTAATCAAACTTGATTAAGCTTTGTTCTGCGTTAAATCTAAACCTTAAGTTGTTAATTTACCTCACTTTTGTTCCACAGCAAAACAAATTCATCGGTCTATCCAGGAAAGGAAAATAAAAACACCACAGACTGCAGAAGGACTTAACTCTTGAGGAAACTAAAAACTATGGATAGGTATCAGAAACCTTCTGAAGTGGAGTAGGAAAGCGTATTATGGACACAACCATGTACGTAGACTACAGAATTACAGCTTACAGAAACGTCACGGTACAACTAAACGACACACAAGTGTTCACCTCTGGTGTTCTGCAGAACTCACAGAATGCTCAGCATTATTTCATCAGCCTCTTCCTCTCTGGGCTCTACACTATAATCCTGTTTCCTGTCGGCCTCGTTGGGAACATCCTCATCCTGGGGGTCAACCTGGACCAAGAGGGCAGACTGACAGCCCCTGACCTGTACTTCGTGAACCTGGCTGTGGCCGATCTGTTCCTGGTGGCCGACTCTCTGATCGAGGTGTTCAACCTGAAGCAGGGCTACTACAACAACGCCGGCCTCTGCACCTTCATGAACCTGTTCCAGCAGGTCAACATGTACAGCAGTGTCTTCTTCCTGACCTGGATGAGCTTTGATCGTTTTGTGGCGCTCACCAACTTCATCGGCCGCAGCATGTCACACGCACGCCTCAGCTGCTGCCTCATCTGGGTGTTGTCATGGTTGCTCACTCTGCTGCCCTTGGCTGTAGCGCAAGTGCAGCATGCAGGGGAAGTGCACTTTTGCTTTGCCAACGTGACACAGATTCAGTGGCTGGAGGTGATGCTGGGGTTCTTGCTGCCGTTCTGCGTCCTCGGCCTGTGCTATGGGAAAATAGCGCAGGTGCTCCGACGCAGTCAAAGGGAGCAGAACGGCCCACAGCAGAAGCCTCACCGGCAGAAGGCCCTGCGAATGATCTCAGCAGCCGTGATGGTCTTCTTTCTCTGCTGGCTTCCAGAAAATGTGTTCATTAGCGTTCACCTCTTGAGGGGCGACTTGGACAGCAGCACACTGTGGCAGGACTATCCCCTGACAGGACATGCCGTCAGACTGGCAGCCTTCTCCAACAGCTGCCTGAACCCGCTCATCTACGGCTTCCTCGGGGAGGCATTTCGGAAAAAACTCAAAATATTCCTCCAGGAGAAGAGCAGATGGTCCAAACTGCACAGGTCAGCATCAGGAAAACCCATCTATGAACTAGCTGCACCGACGCACCCCAGTACCCCTCACATTTAAGCTCTCGTGAACTCCATCATATTATTATAAAACAAGCGAAAAGAAATTAAATGGACAGAACGAACACCCAACTGCTGTAAAAACTGATTTTTTTCAGAATGCTAGTGTTAAAAAGACTCAAAGAACAGCAGCTGGTGGAAAAACTGGATTATTAATAATGTTAATGTACGTTGACGACTCTTATTTGTGTTCATAACAATGACACCAGCCAACGCTCATCAATGACAACAATAACATTGAAACAACCGTCAGCAGCTCATATTCTCACCTCAGTTTGCTTTGTGTGGGTTTCTTGACTCATCTTTTTCTTTTTGCACTTCTTGTCCTTTTTGCACTTTATATCATTTGGAGAGTTTGTAACTGGATGAATCTGTACCAGAGCCTCCTGAACAAAATAAACACTGCTCATTTTGTAAAGAGGTACTTCAGGAAACATAATTATTTTGGGAAAAGTATGCGAGCCTAAAGAAAGTCCTTTAAAAACTGTATTACTCACCTCAGCTTCCACATGTTTCCTTTTCTTTTTTATTTTGGTCTCCACTTGTTCTTCTGCAACATCCCGAATGTCATTTGAGGTCAACTTGTTCTTTTTAGACTTTGATTTCAAAGACTTGTCCTTCGCCATCATGAGATAATTCTACAAACACAAAAATAATATGCTAACATGCCATGATGTTAAAACGAACAGGAAACAAGTGTCTCTCGCAGTGTTAGTCATGTTATAAAGCATTAGCCTAAGACTAATAATTCACGTGCATAACTGCTTAAATTTATATTCATCTCCAACTTTTCTGACGAACGAGTACAGTTTCTCTAAGTATACAATTTTCGCAAAAAAAAAAACAACAGGTTTACTACTAAAACACAACATACAAAACGCAACTTCATAACTATATTATTGTGAAAACTCACAGACCAACCTGAAACGAGAAGAAAACGTGTAAAGAGAGCAAAGCATGCGTGGGATCTTAACCAGGAAGTCTAGTCGATCAGGTGTAATGTGATTGGACAGCTGACTGTACGTGATTTGTGATTGGTGGACGGCTTCGTAGTGTGACGTCATATCCGGTGTCCTGTGAAATAAATAGTTAAAATAATACGCTTCCAAATAATTAGAATTTGCATCTCAATTATGACATTAATAATAGTAATATCAATAAATAATAATAACAATAATAATGAAAATTTAAAACCAAGCTCATAGTAGCTGTTTTTTCAGTTTGTCGGAACGACCCAAAATAGACCTTCCTGTAGATCCATCGGAAGGATTTCGAAGTTGCACAATGATGAACGTTACATGACCTAAAACGCTTGGTTCAGAAACAGATAAAGTTGTTGTGTAAACTAACATCACAATTCGTCCGAGATGTTGAAAACAACAGGAAGAGTGTTCAGCGGCCTCCAAAGTGCAACTCTCAGCCGAGGCAGATTTATTAAAAACACTTCAACGACCGTCAGGTGAGTCTGAGACTGGTTTCAATGACACTACAGGACTGGCATGAGAAGATGTCCATCATGTGGAGCAAAATTTGTCTCCTGTGCATTTCTTCTGAATTATATTAACCTGAAATGAGCATTTAAAGAAAACATAGACGACAAATGACAGAGTTGTAGGTTAGTGCTGCTTGTTCTAGTCATATGAACACACAGACACTGTTAGTGATTTAAATGTATGTTGATATGAATAAGTCTTTGTTGTCATTCTTAATAAAATAAATGATCACACAGACATTTTTCTGTTAACAAATGAAGATCACGTGCCTTAAACATTCATGCTAAAGGCATATTGCATACATATTACATATGTGTTCAGCATATTTTTAATAAAACTTGGAAAGACTTGTCGAAGATTGCCTTTAACAGATAAATTATTTTTTACTTAAAACATTTTTGAAGAAAAGTCTTTAAGATGTAGTTACTTACCTCAAGTGGTTCGCACTTCACTCTGTTTTGTGAACAGTGTGCGGCCTGTGGTTCTGAGCCCTCTGACGTCTGCTAAGTCCAAGCCCCCCACAGATGAAGAGACAGTAAACGAGGAGCCCATCAAGTTCTCCACCAGTAAGGCTAGTCACAGGACCTGGAAGGTTGAACATTCCATGGGAAGCCAGTACGAGCGGCCCTGGTGGAAAGTTGTCCCCATCATGCTGCTCGGCTCAGCCCTCCTCCTGTGGTGCTTCCTGAGGGAGGAGACGGACATCGACGCACAGCTGAACAAGCATCTGTACGAAAGGTTACCTGGCTTGCTTTCAGATGAAGAGGCAGAGCAAGTCGAGAAGAAATGACATGAAACTTATGTGTCATTTTATTCATACTGGCTCAATCTGCCACAAGGACATGTTGAACTGGGATAACTCATTGCTCAAGTTGAATCAAGCTTTGTTGCTACAATAGTTCTGAAAGTTATGCCATTCATTCTTGTTGAAGAACATGGAATAAACATTTTGCATTTGAACTGGACAATAACTCGACTGTTCTGTCACTAGATGTATTAAATTGTTGCAGCTACAGTCGTGAAAAAATATAACACCTCTTTAAAGATTCAGTCTCAGAAAAAAAGTCCACATCTTGATGTTTAATCTTGTTTTGTCTCTGGAAAATAAAGTTATTTAATTGCAGGGAAGCTAGAAAATAACCTAATGATGTCCAGGTCCTGCTGCAGCAGTCTTCTCTGTGTTTCAAAGTAGGTAAATCTGTCAAATAAAGTTGTTATGAAATCCAAATCAATTTTACACTCATCTGTCCAGAGGATACAAACCGGATTCCAAAAAAGTTGGGACACTAAACAATTTGTGAATAAAAACTGAATGCAATGATGTGGAGATGGCAAATGTCAATATTTTATTCGTAATATAACATAGATGACGGATCAAAAGTTTAACCTGAGTAAATGTAACATTTTAAAGGAAAAATATGTTGATTCAAAATTTCAGTGTCAACAAATCCCAAAAAAGTTGGGACAAGTGGCAATAAGTGGCTGGAAAAAGGAAATTGAGCATATAACAAACAGCTGGAAGACCAATTAACACTAATTGGGTCAATTGACAACATGATTGGTATAAAAAGAGCTTCTCAGAGTGTCAGTGTCTCTCAGAAGCCAAGATGGTAAGAGGATCACCAATTCCACCATTGTTGCGCAGAAAGATAGTGCAGCAATACCAGAATGGTGTTACCCAGCGTAAAATAGCAAAGACTTTTAAGTTATCATCATCAACCGTGCATAACATCATCAAAAGATTCAGAGAATCTGGAACAATCGCTGTGCGTAAGGGTCAAGGCCGTAAAACTTTACTGGATGCTCGTGATCTCCGGGCTCTTAAACGTCACTGCACCTCAAACAGGAATGCCACTGTCAAGGAAATAACAGAATGGGCTCAGGAATACTTCCAGAAAGCATTGTCAGTGAACACAATCCACCGTGCCATCTGCCGTTGCCAGCTGAAACTCTACAGTGCAAAGAGGAAGCCATTTCTAAGCAAGCTCCACAAGCTCAGACGTTTGCACTGGGCCAGGGGTCATTTAAAATGGTGTGTGGCAAAATGGAAGACTGTTCTGTGGTCAGATGAGTCACGATTTGAAGTTCTTTATGGAACACTGGGACGCCATGTCATCCAGACCAGAGAGGACAAGGATAGCCCAAGTTGTTATCAACGCTCCGTTCAGAAGCCTG